CACCTCTTCTTGCTTTTTACAAATAAAAATTATCATTTTAGTATCTCATAGTTTCATAATAACGAAAAATAGCATTTTAGCCGTGATAAGCAATTGCAAGCCTGCATTGAACTATGATGTGCAAAGCTGTTGATATCACCATGTGAGGCACGTAGACTCCTTCCGTCTTTCTCAAGCAACACATCGATAGCCTGGTGGCTCATCTCTGCCTTCTGTTCGAAATGTCCCTCTCCAGTGGGATGTTTCCTTCCTGCTGGAAATCAGCTGAGATGTTTCCAGTGCATAAAGGCGCCGGTGGTGTAGTGGTAAGCGTGATTACCTCTCACCCCAGCAGGCCTGGGTTCAATCCCAGTCGGCGCCGCCGGGATGTTCTGAGGCATAACATCTCTGATCACGCCTTCCTTCGGATGGGAAGTAAAGCCGTTGGTCCCCGGTTCATGAGTTGATGGGTCGATAGGTAGGGTCCAGGTGTGGGAGCTGCCTTCCTGGCACGTCGGTAGCATTGGTGCTCAGCACGGAAAATAAGATCGACGGAAAAAACAAACCAAAGGTTTCCAGTGCATAAGAAGGGGGATGCAAAAGAAACAGCGACAACTATCGCGGCATCACATCATTGTGTGCCATATCTAAACTGTTCGAGTTGGTCGTTATGGAACCATTAGTCTCTCACTTCAAGCAGAACTTGAGCGAAGACCAGCATGGTTCCATGGCAAGGCGGTGGACTACTTCCAACCTTCTGTGTCTCACCTCGTACATTACGGAGAGTATGACAGACCATATGCAAACAGATGTCATCTACACTGACTTATCAGCCGCCTTCGACAAGTTGAACCATCCTATAGCGATCGCCAAACTGGATAGGCTCGGTATGAACGGCAGTCTCCTACGATTGTTCGCATCCTATCTATCTGATCGTCAGTTGGAAGTTGCAATCGACGACTGCCGATATCCGTCGTTCCCTGCCACTTCGGGTATTCCGCAAGGTAGCCACCCGTTGATATTTCTTGTATATTTCAACGACGTCAATTTCGTCCTCGACGGTCCACGACTGTCGTTCGCAGACGACATGAAAATCTATCTCCGAATCCGAGCCATCGCTGACTGCCACCTTCTCCAACTCCAACTCAACGCTTTTGCCAACTGAACCGCATAGTTATAAATCCAACAAAATGTTCAGTAATCACGTTCTCACGGAAGAAACATCCAATTACATTCAGTTATATCCTAGAAGGCGTTGACGTACATCGTGTGAATCACATTAAGGATCTGGGAGTCATCTTAGATTGTCAACTCATATACAGTCAGCATATCTCGTACGTGATCGACAAGGCATCCAGAACGCTCGGCTTCATTTTCAGGTTAGCTAAAAGTTTCACGGACATCTACTGTTTGAAGTCGCTTTACTGCTCCCTCGTCCGGTCGGTGATAGAATACTGCTGCCCTGTATGGAATCCCAATTACCAACACAGTGTACAAAGAGTAGAGTCTATTCAACGACAATTCATCTGGTTTGCCCTTCGACGATTGCCTTGGAGGGATCGCCTTCCAAGCTACGAAAGTCGGTGCCAGTTAATTCACCTGGATCCTTTGTGGAGTCGAAGAGATACGACAAGGGCCCTGTTTGTGGCAGACATTTTCCAGGGCAGAATCAATTGTCCTTCTATTCTACAACAAATCGACGCTTACGTTCAACCACAAGCACTTCGTAACAACGCAATGCTGAGGATACCTTTTCGTCGTACAAACTATAGTTCGTATGGTGCTATCAATGGGCTACAAAGGGGTTTCAATCATGTTGCTTCCTTGCTTATTTGATTTTCACTTGGAGACTCCGTGATATAGGTATTTTTATGAATTAGGGACTAGGGATTAAGTTGGACTTCACGGCCTTTGCAGCTTGTTACTACTTGACTATCTTGTATTTCCTAGTATTGCTTAATCCATCATTAGGACTAAACTCAGTCTGTTGATGTAGAACCAAATAAACAAATAAACAAATAAAAATGTGTCATAATTCGAACCAATAGTGTTGAGGCATGGATCACAGCATAAGATTCACACATGAAATCGATGTGTTTCACAATAAATGCTCAATTAAGTGTGAGACACATGATGATGACGTGTGGAATTTTTTGATTGTAGGTCAATGAATAGACAAAAAGCAAAGAAAACTAAAATTACATTGCGTATTAGTGCTACCGGCTCGTCTCTCTGTGCTCTCGATAGTCAGATTTATAAAAATAAATTTTTAAATATTTTTAAAAATTTAAATATTTGAACGGGACTGAAAATCGGTCAGTACCGCTAATTTATCCCAAGAACATAACTCTTTCTCTTTCTGTTAAAATGTGTGTTCGATCTCCACTACGTTGTCCTGTCGACCCTCCACGAATAAGAGATAACTATTCGAGCGAGATAAATATGGGAAACTGCCATTCGGATCGAATGATATCGGGTAGGGGCGGATAGCTTAACGCAAAAACGGGGTTATATAATAAATCTTAATTCTTAACTGCAGCAGGAGCTTATGTTTTGTGTAGGAATAGGAATTTGAGTGGGGTTCTCTTTGTTTATACTCTTTAGTATGACGCGTTTGACATAGATGGCCTACAGCGACTCACGAAGAGCTACTGATTCCGATCAATAGCGGTGCGTCTTCTTCCTCCTTCTATGGATGATCATTTGGGCTGCAGCGCGCTGCTTGCAGCCAGCCTTTCGTTGTGTACTGGAAAACAATGTTCAACGTCACGCGCCAAAAGCACTGCTGCTGCTGGTGCCGACGACCGGACACCACCACACACGGTGATTGGAGAACACCACCACTCATTATGCGGTGATTGAATAAACACCGTTTGGTGAGACCGGATGAAATTCAACTTTGAAATCTGTGTTAGGGAACTCACTTTTCGCATGCAATCGGTGATAATTTTAATTATCATAGCAACAGTTGCAAATTCGTGCAATTTTCAATAGTGACAATTTGAAAAATGATAAAGTCTTAAATTTAAGAGGTGCGTAGAAATATTTCTGATCGATTGGCGATAAAATTATTGAAATTGGTCCAGAGGCAGCTGAATTATCAACGTTCAAAATCTTTCATAATGTTGTTACATGTTCCATTTTTGGTTTTCACAAAGTGTACCCCCATATAGAAATCCCGGACGTAGTCCTACGTCAACAGCTCGTGAGTCTATTTTCACAACATCGTTGGTTTCAAGGTGATCACGCCGTCCGCTGCGAGGAAAATGTTTCTGCACGACGGCAGAGGGAAAAATTCCCCCTTTTACTTCTGCATCCATGCAATTCATTGGACCCGAACCATTTTTTGGACTATCAAAATGGAGCTCAAGAACTGAAAAAAAAACAAAAGTACAGTACAACTGAAAGAATACCTTTAATGCTCGGCAATTAAAAGGTTTATAAAGCCAAGCGTTTTTCATGCACAAAAAAATACTTTATCTTTCAAAACATGGTTTGAGTGCATACACCGTTGTAAATATAACCTGAAACTCATTGCTAGATTGTGTGACTATGTTGCACTATTTAATAAACGATGCTGATATCTTGATAAGGGTCTTATGGGCCCTTGGGGAATCCGGCCTGCTGCTCCCCATCAGAAAATACATTTCATAATGAATGGTTGGGATAATTGCTTACAACCGTACTGGTAGTTACTCAAACAATAGTGTCTTACCATTACGTTATGGCATAAATAAAAAAGAGGATACAGCACAATAGATCAAGGTGGTGGTATTATGTTCCCAACACAGAAAAAAAAACCTCTATGGCTGGATGTCGCCAGCCCGTTGTCTGCGGAGGTTCCACAGGTTGCCTTCCACATCGATCCATCTACGCGCCTCTTCGTCTAGCTTTAGTCGGGTCGTCTTCGATAACCATTTTCTCCGGGTTGTCGTCTGATATTCTTACGACGTGCCAACCCTAAATTAAGGTCCCAGTATTACGCATTGATAGGCAAGGATGCATCGACAATCGCAATTCACCGATGGCTGTAGGACGTCCGGTGCTGCGGTATAGATAGCAAGTTTATCCATATGGATATACATATGGCGAATTGTTAGAATGAGATAAACATTAAGTTCACTATTCTCAAATAAACATCCAAGTGCAATTTAAAATTTAAGAAGGACGATCAGGAGCTTATTTGGCGATCTGTAGTTAATTGGTCATATCAAGTGCATGACCACATCAATTTAATTTTAATGTGTACCTAATATTGAGGGAACCAATCACATTTCAGTTACGTGTGACATTGTGCTTTCTTTCTTCCCTTCGTCGCGCAACATGTAACCGACCTCTCAGTCGTACACGCGACACCTGTTCACCATAATAGGCCATTAAGACTAAAGATTTCAAAATGTTGCACGGTGAGGTATTGAATTGAAATTTAAAATGATCCTATTTCTCAAATAAACCTTTTTATATTTTTTTATGTTTTTACGGAGGATAAAAAGTCGTGAACGAGAGCGGTGAACTATAGTTCACGATGTACATTTCCTTCTACGCGCGGACCGGCTGTTGTTCACGAATATGGGAACGGATTATTTCCTAGCACGTATTAAATAAAATATTAACAAAATTAAAAATATTTGATGCAAGTGATTCAAATAGGTAGGTGGAGGTGAACCAGCCTCAGGCTTAATAAAGATAAATCAATCATTCAATCAAATAGGTAGATTTCAACTTTTTACCCCCCAGAGTAACAGTCACATTAAATAAAAATACTTCATTCGAAAACTATAAGCGTGTAAAAGGTTAAAATCTGCATCATCAAGCTGTTTTTCAAGATGGCCGCGTGTGGCCAAGTTTTAACGGCCTATAGGGATACTTGACGCGTATGCGCACCACCGTGTTTGGTCTGCGAGAATTGCTTTTCTCTCGCACGGCCGGACGGATTCGCGAAGACCCAACTCGCGGAGTCACCCACCAACGAAGCATAACTCTACCCGATCTGTGTGTCTTGGCTCAGTCAGTCTCGTGCACATCGTCTGTGAAGCAACTCGCGTACGTCGCGCGCTACTATCATTCGTGTCGCGGATTTTTTTTTTCTCTTGTTCAGCATTTCTGGTTTCTAGCTATTCGACTTTCGTCGACTTTGAGCTTCAGAATACGTTTTGTTCGTGTCGCAAAATCGATAAGGTGTGCAGCTGTTGGCTCGAACCCGGTAGAACTATTATTTGGCTTCGCATATCAAGGTACCTACATATGTATAGGAAAGATCGCATTGTTGCACTTATTTTGTTTGCTTTATGAATAAATGATAAGCATTGCATGCTTGGAAATGGGCCGCAAGTAATATGTTCATAAATACCGTGGATTGGCGTTTAACTGTATTTATTGTTGTAGTAGATCACCCCAAGTGTCAGTTTTCGCGGTCGAGAATCAATTTTACTCACTTCGACCGAGTGAGTGTGAGTTTTTTTGATAGGAATGGGAGAATTCGGGCGATAAGCATGCAATGAGCTCTCCGTGAAGATGCTTGAAAGCTATTGGGGATGGAAATAGTCAAAACAAAACCATTAGGAAGGTCATCGTTACCGTGGAATCGAGAATAAAGTAAAGTTTGAATACATTTTCCTTATCAGTGACGAACGATGTGACGATTCTAGTAGCAGCACGTGCTCCGACTATTCTACGTCAATTTCACGCTATTTTTAGCACGGAAATCGTGAAACTGTGAATGAACTGCTTTGCTCACTTTCTATAAGCGTATAATGGTGGATTTGCGGAGAATGGGCTCGCTGTTTATGGTGAACCTTCAATGTTCGCATGTAGATATATCAAATGCAACGATAGTAGTAGCTTTAGCAAATATAAACACACATAAAAAACAAACAAGGTTCGAAACTGGCAATTTATAAAACAACCGACAGGCGAGAAGCACAGATGAGTGGAAATTTCCACTCGCATCAGCCGGTAGCTATCGCTGGTTGCTGCAGCGGACAATATCGTTAGCTCATACACGTACGCTCTGGTGCTAAAGCATCCATCAGTATCATCCATGTTTGGATAAGTCATAACGAAGAACTTTATTTCATTCATTCTTCCACTTCGCAGGCTTTTGAACAACATGAGTGCATTCTCACAAGATTTTAAAGCGCTCATATGTGACCTGAATCGCAGAAACTGCAGGCAGTTAGAAGTCAACATCCTATCGGTGGCCTGCTAGATTAAAAATTCAAAACTGGTCGTAAGACAATCTCGAATGAAAAGAGTAAGCCAAGTCGAGAGGAGAAGAACGATTGATTTTGAGATCTTTCTTTCTTCCACTGCGTTCGTGTGCGGTTGATTGAATGCTTCTTGCGAACCAATACTAAGCGATTTAATTGATTTGTTGCCTTCCTTTGGAATGAGTTATAACTACAGATGGATTGGTTGGTATAAACTGACTCTTCAATTTGTACAATTAATCAGCGGTCTCTAGTTTATAGTTATGATAGTTCAAGCATCGACTGTGGTAAAAGCGGCAAAAGTGTCAACCGTGGATAGCTAAAGTTTGTTGATTCTATCGATACGAAATACGAGAGCTGTTCAGCAAATCAAACAATCGGAAAGCTGTTCTGTGGCTTCCTCGGAGAACCTTGTTAGCACTTGTGATATTTTTAAAACTTTGTGGATCTGTTGGGTTGAGCTTGCTTTCCTCCAGAATTATCATTTGTTGAAATTTAGTGTTATTTAAAGTAATTAATAGATTAGGACCATAGTTTACGGTAGACATGCAAAGAGTAGGTAAATCTTATCAAAGGAATCAACACCAATGATTTACACTTAAAGTCCGAGATGTGCAGCAAGCATTTCTCGCTTCATTTTTGCAACGCAAAATCAAATACAGTTTATTACTAGTATTAAAATATCCTTTTTATTACGTATCTATAATCTATAAGAAAACTTAAACCCTATTCTATCGACTGCTTCAAACAGAACTATGTTTCGTCAGCTCTGTGCAAATGAGCAGTTCGTGAGCAAAACTGTGTATGCCAAGCATGCTCACCAATGCGCAAGATCACGCTTGATTTTCGTAGACAAAAATCAACAAGCAAACAATTGGCATGCTATGACATCGTAGCTCGGAGTATCAAGCTAGTAAAACTCGCCAGCTGCAAATCTCAACAAACTGTGGTGAGATTGATTTGCTTTAAGCTGGGTTTAGATGATTCAAGTCAATTGATCAACTCACTTGAATTCAATTGGCTTGAAAAGTTGAGCATGGTCCAACTTTTTTCAATTCAAGTGAGTTGATCAAGTCAGTTGAATGGCATGGTTTACACGTTCAAGTCAGTTGAATTCAACTGACTTGATCAATTTACTTGCCCTGTCTAAGCCCAGCTTTACACCCGAACGCAACCAAAACTTCCATAAAGCTGCGTTTAGACTAGGCAAGTGAAATTATCAACTCAGTTGAATTCAATTGGCTTGAAAAGTTGAGCCTGGTTCAACTTTTTTCAATTCAAGTGAGTTGATCAAGTCAGTTGAATGGCATGGTTTACACGTTCAATTCACGTTCAAGTCAGTTGAATTCAACTGACTTGATCAATTGACTTGCCCTGTCTAAACCCAGCTTAACGGCTGTGGCAGCAATCACTTCGTGTCTGACATCGGTGAAGAGTAAAAAGAGATAGCAAACAATACTTTCTCTTTCAAAGAAGACGATGTGCAACGGAAGCATTTTAGTGTCGAGTCAACTCTCAGCTTGATTTTTGCACGTTGAGAATAGTCTCGCAATATACAAGGAGCTTGTAAAATCAATATCACGCGTGATATTGAGAGCGTATGAGAGCGGAAAAATATCATTTGATTGATGATTTTGCCAACAGTGATAAGGATATGGTTTCAACCTTCTAGATCAGGCCCAACCAAACTTTATGAACCGATCTGGAGGCGAACCAGCCCAAGGCTGAAAGCCTCTTTAATAAAGTTAAATAATAATAATAATACTTTATGAACCTATGTATAAATTTTTTTTAAAGTAAAAAAGCTGGATAATTCATGAACAATTTCAAAGCTGCATTTTGTTTATTTCTTATCATTCTGGTCTAAAATTCATATTGCTTAAGAAAATTGAGCTACAATGGTCAATGGTTTTCTGGTTTATATGTAATAAAAAACCACCGCGAGCAGTGCCACATTTAGGATCTGAGATGGCCGAGGCTGCTTTCATTTTGGTGGCCCCATAATAAATTGTTTCGAAGTATGAGTTACAAAAGTCAGTACAAGTCAGTAAAGCGTTTGATAGAGTTGATATCCCTCTTTTGCTATTCAAATTATCTAAGGTTTTAGTCAACATTCATTAAAGTGGATTCAGTCATACTTGAGCGGTAGGACACAAAGAGTTAGATTTGAAGGAGATTTGTCGTCAGTAGTCAATGTAACATCTGGTGTGCCACAAGGGCCACAAGGCTCCCATCTTGGACCATTACTGTTTATTCTATTTGTTAATGATGTAGATCACATATTGAATATTCTGAATGTCTCAATATATGCAGACGACAGGTAACTTTTCCTGGAAATTCGTGAAACGTCTGATCTTGTAGTATTTCAACAAGAAATTGATAACTCTTACACTTACAGTTTATTAAAGCTTAATGTGAAGAAATGTAATTCCATTTCATTTACAATAAAGAAAATTATAAGACAAGAACATGTAACAATAGGACAAAACAGAGTTGAAAGGTGCAATCAAGTTAGAGATTTAGGTGTTATACTAGATTAAAAATTAAGCTTCGTTGAACATTATAATAACATTATCTACAAGGCAAGCAACATGCTAGGGTTTATTAAAAGGTTTAGCTTTCATTTCAATGATCCATACACAATCAAAACATTATATGTTGCATATGTTAGGCCCCTCATTAAGTACTGTAGTATAGTCTGGGCTCCATATCAAGATACGCATATAAACCGCATTGAATCAGTTCAAAAACAGTTTCTATTATTTGCTCTAAGAAAGTTAGGCTGGACGAGTTTACCCTTACCATCTTATGAGTCTCGATGTATGTTAGCAGTTTAAATGGAACGGTTGCCGAAGAAAAACTGGTTGCCGACAATACTCGCTTTCACTAGAGAAGATTGGAGCTTTGTAAAAGCGTTTCAAAACAGTTTTTGACAATTCTTTCGACTGAAATTGTTAGAGCAGCTGGCAGCAAAAGATTGTAAACAAACCAATACTGCATATGTGTGCGTTCCTTAGAGAAAAAGGCTATAGAAAGAACGTCGCTGCTTAGGTTGCCGAGAATACGTAAATTCCCCTATTTTGTTTTATTTTAAGAGATTTTAAACGGTTGTTCATTCACCTCTAATCAAATAATTGTCTTCTACACTAAGCTTCAGAAAAGTCTTTACATAACTGAAGATGCTAATTTCAAGTAAGTCTGTTATTTTGTAATAATGTATTGGTAATTTTTATGCGATAGATGAGGAGATGAAAGTATAGAGTTGATAGTTCCGTTAGAGTACGGCAGTGTGAAAATTGTACATAGAGAGTAGAAAGCGAGCAAGGACAAATTTAGGAAGGTACAAATCGGTTTGATCATCTCTCTTTACCAAACTCCCCCGTTGGAGAGGGATGGTGAGGTATTCCCCCCGCCACCACTGGCGAATCGCATCAAACTATTCATCATCGAGAAAATTTATTGTTGATATGCTGTCCTACTCATAGCAAATGCTACAAATGAACGATTTCATCTACAAGCAGGCTTTTTTAAATCATGAGAATGGTTACTAGCTTTGCAGCTCCACCGGTAGCACTGCTCCCGGTCCCGATAAACTGAAAAGATCAACAAAAACCTTGATCCTGACATATACCGTTTGATACGCTGCTTGCCTTTGTGCGTGTTTAATAGTTGAAACGCTTGAAAGTTTCTTTCTACACACTGAATGTTTCAGGAAGATACCTTCGAGGTCTTCCTTTAATGGGTATGTATTCTACAGCGTGACAGAGAACGATAACTTCCTCCTTTTTTCATAATTTATGAAAAGGGCGTTCATTTGTGTTGATTTCGTGTAGTGACATGTATAATTATGACGATTTAATTACCGATGCTTAAACTGACATGGTTCTTTCGAATAGAATTACAGTCGGGTATCCTTATTCCCGGCTGGTTTTTTTTGCACGTAGCTAAGAAATCATGTAAAATGTATCTGAAATCAGTTAATTAGTAGTTATTAAACTACTATACTTTCGTTTATGGCAAGTCCG